TGTTGGGGTTTTTTTTGGAGGGGGGGGGTGATGACTGTTACAATGATTGTTCAGGCGATATTTGGTTGGAGGGGGGGGGGGGGGGGCAACGAGCGAAATTCAGTAACATTTTCCATTGAGACTTGATCGTTAACTTCTAAAACCAAAAATGATCTTGTCCTCGATCCACACTTCTCTTTACTGTTTCATTCAAGGAAAGAATGAAAGAGTTTCTCTTATGTGATCTCAAAGTCAACACTGAGAAATGCTTCATTTCAGCATTGATCTAAGTTTTTGTACAGAGTATCCCGTAGTCATTGATTGGGGGATAACAGATATGAGTGGGTAAGCAACTTTGTTGCCCCTTTCCTCTCTGTTCTCTAATTCTCTCAAAGTGTCGCTCAACGTCAGGCTTGTGTATTCTGGCATTAAACTGTTCGGAGCCTGTCATTCAGCAAAATTTGTTTACCCGCTGTTTTGGGCACTTGAGAAATAAATTAATACAAATTGTTGCATTCCTTTTTTTTTACTTAAAAAGGCAGGCAACACCATCGTGGATACAATCAAATATGTACATTTTTGTTTCTTATGTGTCTATCATAATTCGAAATGGGCCACAGCATTGCTTTGGGTCTACTGCTGATCGGACATGTAAGTGTCCTCAACACCGTTACACGCTTAATTACAGTTATCTACCTTGGGAGATATCCCGGATTTGAACTTAACGAACTTGTTTGCAGTTAACAGTGAGTACAGTTCGGGCGTTCCAATGTGACTGGGGCCTCTAAGAATTCTTAATACAAAAAAAAAAGAAGACGTCATGGACAAACTTTCTAATGTATCTGGGCGAAACAAATGCCCGTCTCTTTAGACTCGAGATCTATATTGTTACTTAATCGCCGTGGGACACACACACAGTGTGATAACATCAAGTTTATGAACATTCAGGGACAACTGATTCGGATCAAATCATAGGTCAGCCAGGTCAGCGGGTGCACATTGTATCTTTACGAGGTTTGTCTCTTTACGGGGTCATTACAGTCAACTGACCAGGGTATGAGAAACCTTTAAATGCAGAAAAGGAGATTACTTAAAAGTGTTGACTTTTACGTCCAGTCTTTGTTACAGCTTTACTGCGTTTCTCATTTACTCATATTATGGTTTAGATGTCATTCATTTCTAAAAAGCATACATCAAAATGTTTGCTGTTGCGCAAAACTTTACCTTCACATCCGCATGCTCATGCATTGCTTGGGGGGGGGGGGGGGTTAAACAGCCGTAGTTTTTAATTAACTAAAATCGTTGCAAATCTATTGTATTCAGGAAAATAAATCTCAAACCTCATAACAAAACATCTAATCAGGGTAAAATATAGAGGGGGGGGGGGGGGGAGACCCACTGACTCCCTACCCTTCCCGATATTTTTTTAGGTCGGAGCATACCCTGAACCCTCTCTCACTTGTTACTTTTACGTAACTGAGCCTATTGTAATGTATACAAACTTCATATTTCTCAAAAAGTAATAATTTGCGGAGAAAGTAAAGTCGATATTTGTGTTTAGCAGACAAAACTAAACCAGAAGAGAGGTACATAGAACCTAGACTGGAGGCAGATGCAGAAATAAAAATAATACCGTTATTGTTTCTTTGGCTTTTTTTTTTCTTTTATGTATTAGTGTAATTGTCCACGGTGTTACTGCATTATTTTGTTCGGGGAGGAAGGAGGATTTATACATCCTTGCAATCCACGTGGAGGAAGGGGGATTTATACACCATTGCAATCCACGTGGAGGAAGGGGGATTTATACACCATTGCAATCCACGTGGAGGAAGGGGGATTTATACACCATTGCAATCCACGTGGAGGAAGGGGGATTTATACACCATTGCAATCCACGTGGAGGAAGGGGGATTTATACACCATTGCAATCCACGTGGAGGAAGGGGGATTTATACACCATTGCAATCCACGTGGAGGAAGGGGGATTTATACACCATTGCAATCCACGTGGAGGAAGGGGGATTTATACACCATTGCAATCCACGTGGAGGAAGGGGGATTTATACACCATTGCAATCCACGTGGAGGAAGGGGGATTTATACACCATTGCAATCCACGTGGAGGAAGGGGGATTTATACACCATTGCAATCCACGTGGAGGAAGGGGGATTTATACACCATTGCAATCCACGTGGAGGAAGGGGGATTTATACACCACTGCAATCCACGGGGAGGAAGGGGGATTTATACACCATTGCAATCCACGGGGAGGAAGTAAACCAACACAATGTTCACTTAGACATAGATGTTATGGGCGGGAAAGTTCACTTAAATGTATTGTATTCGATTTTATTCGTTCCTTTCAAAAACATTAACTAACCACCTTCAAATGACTCTTTGTACACAGAAACAAAAGCAAAACCAGACAATCATTTATTTATCAGTAGACACGATCACTTATTCCGTTCTTAAATCTTGCTGGTTAACCGATGATCACGTTTTCTAATTACAATATGTTTCGATTGTGGTGAAATCAGGCACTCGTCAAAATTCTGAAATCAAAGTAATCGGCTATAATTTATCTGTAGGTGGGGCAATTATTTCGATTTTTCTTTTATCTGTCTAAAGACTTTTACGTCCATTTGAAATAATCATATTTATGTGGATTTTACCGAAATACGTTAATCAAAGGCACAGAAATGTAAATCTGCAGGTTTTAAGGATACTCAAGCTACGGAAGTCACTAAACTTTTGGGGCCATTTTCTCGCCAATTTGACCTTTGTCATAAACATCTAGACTTCTATTCAAGATAGATGGCTATTTTTTTTTACCTACAGCAAAACAAATGAACAAGCGTTACGATGACACCCATAACTTCATATGCCCAAAAATTGACTAGCGCCTGATTCCGCCGCGTGTTAGCACGAATGTCAATGAATCACACTACTAATCGAACGGACGAAGGATAAAACGACAATTAAGGAACTCTCGTGGTCTAGTGGGTAAGGTGTCTGCCTCTCATTCAATAGGTCGTGGGTTCGAATCCAGGTAGCGACGGGAAATTTTCTTATCTGAATTGTTCTATTGTGTGCTTTCGTCTCCACTTTCTGCTCCCAACCCCTTTGCTCCTTTGCTCCCTCCCCTGGGCTCCTGACTCTTTTTGCAGCCTTTATGCTGCTATTCCCGTGAGCAAGTTGCGCACGTTAAAGATCCCTTGGGGGTCAAAAATTGATAAGAGTAGGTTTTGGCCGCCACCTGGGCAAAATTCAATATTTCCTACCAACTGAAAAGGTTTAATTATGTGTCCCGCCCGCTCATATGACCTTATGCAGTTGCGAGCGCCGTAAAACACTTTGACCTACCAACCCCCCCCCCCCCCCCAAAAAAGACTAAAAAACAAAAATAAACAAAAAAACCCACCAGCAATTACCCAGCATTGTTTTGCAAGGAGACTCGGCTATCCACAGTTGTCAAGAGCTTTAAAACCTCATTAGAATAGAAAGAAGTTTCTGTCCCAAGCAGAATGAAATCAACGCGTCAAGAAAGTAAAAGTTCTATAGTTTGACGTAGCTAAATTATACTTGCTAGTAATAAAATAACCCGTTCTACGAACCGAATAATAATGAAGAAGTATTAGGAAAGTTAAGAAGAGGAAAAAGACTGAAAACAGGAAAGAAACAAAACACAAATATTTTACCTTGAATTTATCCATGTAGCACCCCCTCTTGACTACCTCTAGGGGGTAAGACTTCTTCTCCCTCTTCAAAGGCGAGGCATTTTCTCCTAAAGTTCCAGCTCAATCACCTTTTTTTAAAAAAGAGTTAGGCCTACATGCCAATTGTTGCTTCCTAGAAGAACCTAATTTAGATTCTAGATCTAGCCTTGATCTCGAAGGATTATAAAAACAAAGGCGAATAATTGAAAGAAGGAGCCTTGGCCCATAGATAGATCTAAGTTTAGAAATTCACATTTTTAACAACCGACAAGCGTCACAGATGGCCTAGATTTCTAGATCTATTCACAGTAGGAAAAATCCACTTTCAAGAATACTTTCATGATTCTTGATCTCGATCTAGATTCACCGACAGCCTAGTTCTGGACTCTAGATCTATTCACAGCAGGGAAAAAATCCACGTTCAATACTTTCATTATTCTTGATCTCGATCTAGATTCACCGACAGCCTAGTTCTAGACTCTAGATCTATTCACAGCAGGAAAAAAATCCACGTTAAATACTTTCATCATTCTTGATCTCGATCTAAGATTCACATAGATCTAGCCGACGACACCCTCCCTGTCACTCTCACCACCCTCCCTCTGTTAGTGCTTTCTGGCCTCCTGTATCTCTCTCTCTCTC